TTTAGAATTTGATAGATGAAGTAGACCAAATAAAGGGAAATGGAAAATATTGAATGACACAATTAGCAAGCATATGTGTGTTTGTACATGCATCCAACTTTGTGCAAATTAGCACAAAACTTTATTTATTTAAAGTTTATTTTGAGAGACAGAGCGGGCAAGTGGGAGAGGAGCAGGGGGTGGGGGTAGGAGGACAGAGGATGTGAAGCAGGCTCTGTGTTGAGAGCAGACAGCCTGATGCTGAGCTCAGACTCACAAACCATGAGATCGTGACCTGAGCCAAAGGCAGACACTTAACCAACTGAGCCACCCAGGCACCACCCCTATTTTATTTTAATTTATTTATTTGTAAGTACTAATTTACTTTCTCTACACCCAACATGGGGCTCAAACTCATGACTCCGAGATCAAGAAGCACATACTTCCAACTGAGCCAACCAGGCACTCCAAATTAGTATAAAACTTTAAAATACAAGTGTAGGGGCGCCTGGGTGGCGCAGTCGGTTAAGCGTCCGACTTCAGCCAGGTCACGATCTCGCGGTCCGTGAGTTCGAGCCCCGCGTCAGGCTCTGGGCTGATGGCTCGGAGCTTGGAGCCTGTTTCCGATGCTGTATCTCCCTCTCTCTCTGCCCCTCCCCCGTTCATGCTCTGTTTCTCTCTGTCCCAAAAATAAAATAAAAAACGTTGAAAAAAAAAAAAAAAAATTTAAAAAAAAAAAAAATTAAAAAAAAATAAAATAAAATAAAATACAAGTGTAGTGAACACAAAAATTGACTCTTAGGCCACAGTGGAAATATTAACCAGTTCCAAAAAGAAGAACTCAGTTGTGTATTTCTTTTTATTTATCCTGCTTGGGGTTTATAGGGCTTCTTAAATCTGTACCTTGGTGAGTTTCATTAGTTCTGGGGGAAAAAAAAATCAGTTATCTCTTCAGATATTGTCTTTATTCTCTTTCTTCTTCTGGGACTCTGATTAAATATTTTTCAGATTTTTTTTTACTACCTTCCATGTCTCTTAATTTCCTTTCTGGCTTTTTGTTCGTTTTTTTTTTTTTTTTTTTTTTTTTTTTTTTTTTTTTTTTTTTTCTTTCCTTAATGCATTAATGGATTATTTCTTCTGATCTTTCATATTGTGTTTGAATTGTTTTTGGTCGTCTTTTGCTAAATTATGTCTATTGAATTCTAAAATTTTGCCTTTCTAGAAGTAATGTTTGTTCTTTTTTCATGCTTGATATATCTTAAATAGATTTTTATACCCTGCACATACTTTCAAGTTTATCATATATTTATTTAAACAGATAAGCATTATTTTTAAATCTGTATCCAGTAATTCCACTAAAGTCTGTGAGGAATGTTTCTACTGGTGGTTGTTCATGTTGTTTTCTTTATGTGCTTGATTATCTATGCCTGCCTGCTTTCTGGTTGTTGTCATTGAATTATTTGTAGGGTTCTCCAGGGTCCAAGGTAGGTTTGCCCTCCTCTAGAGAGACTTTGATTTGGCTTCTGCTGGATACTGTGAACATTGCCATTAGGGATGCCTCAAGCATAATGGTCTTTGGTGGGGCCAAGTATAAAGACCTTAAGTCTCCAGGATGCAAATCTTCCTAAGATTGGTTTCAACAACTTCTCCTTCAACAACTGATTTTCTTCTATGCCCCTTTTGTTTTGTTTTGTTTTGTTTTGTTTTGTTTTGTTTTGTTTTGTTTTGTTTATCTTGTTCTGACTTCTCTGTAGTTTGTTCTTATCCTGAAACTAACAGGCCTGGGTCTCAGCTTAACATGGAGATGATCTCCCCAAAGAGTCTTCATCTTGGTCTGGCCCTGGGCTTTGAATGCTGTCCCTCTTTCCCCATGTGTTGTTACAAAGACTTTACACTTACCTCTCTGGATTTTGACTTTTATACAGAAATTGGCTTGGGACTTCTCACTGCAGATCATTTATCATTTTTAAGATATTGGTTAAACAATAAAGCTTTATATGGTAGTTTACATCATTTCTAGCAGGAGGCAAAGTTAAAGCTGTAAATACATTTATTGGAAAACAGAACAAAAATGAGTGAGCTTATTGCAGGTTAAGAAACCAAAAGAGAGTATTAAACATTGTGATAGTGGAAGCGCAGGGATTCAGCAGAATTTGGTAAAATAGAAAAAAGTAATATTTCAATAAAAGTTAGAGCCGGTTCTCTGAAAGACCAATAAAATAATCAAATTCTTGGCAGGTCAGATCAGAAAATAAAGAGAAGAGACATAAAGATACATTAGAAATAGAAGTGGGACCATAACTACACAGATGAAAGAAAATAAGTGATATGTTAGTGATTATATTATATTATATTATATTATATTATATTATATTAGAAAATAAGTGATTTATTTTATAAACCACCTTAATAGTTTGGCAGTTTATCATCAAATTAACACTATTAAAAATGTTTTACACATTAAAACTGCTTTTCCATAGGTGACATACTTCACACTCCTTTGATACATAACATATAATAATATATTTAAAGAAAGCTCCCCTGCTTATAATTTTTCATCTGATGCTATATTTCTAGAAAATTAAGTTTAGTGTATGTGTTTCAGTCAAAAAGTAGACCAGATGTGTTTTTCTTTATGATCATTTTCAGTACTATCGTTGCTCGCTTTGTAGGTCACACTCTCTGCAGTTATTCAGATTATGTGTCTCTGTCTCATTGTTAGTCCACCTCTCTTCCTCCACTCTTTGTACCAGCTTGTTAAGTTTCCTGTCCCTGGGTTTGCTGAGGAGGTATTTACGGTGGTGTGTGTGTGGTGGAGCAGCGCTCACGGGATGCATGCTTCTCCTACTTTTTGTGAAACCTCTAGAAAAGTTAAGACTTTTTAAAAAGGAAAATTAGCATTGCTAACTTTTCAGTTTTAGAGAGTAGATTGGTGTTCATTTGGCAAATATTTATTGAGCTCCTAAAATGTGCACTACTAGCTTTATATTTCATCCTAGAGACAGACTTCGGGTCATGGATTACCAAGTCAGCTGTTTTATTTGCCTCCCACTCGCAAGGAAGTTAGAGTATGTCACATAGGACCAATTAGCTGGAAGATTCAGATTTTTAAATGTGGGAATCAAATGGTATGGGTGCTTAGATCCTGCAGGACCACTAAGAATGTCTGAAGATTGAAGAACAGGGTTTTTGGAGACCTTATGATATTACCAGTAGAAGCCGAGGAACGTAAAGAAAAGTCTCACTTTCTCAATTGCCTTCAGCATTAATCTGAGTGTGTTCACAAATTTGAGGGGTTTTATTTGTTTTTGTGTTTTACTTACATAGGAAAAGATGAAAAGTACCTTTATGTTAAAAGCATAGCAGGGTTTCAAGCTTTTGGATACTCTCTCCACTGTACCTTGTTCCTACTTTTTTCCTGGAGGTCATCATTTCTGTTAGCCCCCACTCCTGTATTCTGATAGGCACAATTTCCTATTTCTGGGATCTCTGGGTATCCACATTTAGATATGATTGTATTTAATGTGTCCTGTCTTCTATTTATTAACTATTTTTTATTAGTAGTAATAATAACCGATTTATTGAATGCTTATGTATAGGACACAGTCTTAATCACTTTAATGTATTTCCTTTTGTAACTCTTACAGAAACCCTCTTAATAAAGTCTTGTGATTCCTATTTTACAGAAAGGATGACTGAGGCAGGCAGGTCACATAAATTAGCCAAGGTCTCTCAGATGGTAAAGAGGAGCCAAGATTCAAAGCCAGGCAGTGTGAGTTCACAGCTCTTATTCAGACAACCGTTAGCTTTGGCATTAACAGTAGCAATGAAAACAATATTATAATGACAAAAAAGGAAAAAATTACAACATTGGAATTGCTAGTATTTATTGAGGGATTACTATGTGCCAGTCATGATAATAATTGCTTTATTTTTTTGTGAATTTTTTTTCATGTTTATTTATTTTTGAGACAGAGAGACGGAGCACAAACAGGGAGTGACAGCAAGAGGGAGACACAGAATCAGAAGCAAGCTCCAGACTGAGCTGTCAGTGCAGAGCCTGACGCGCGGGGTTCAAACTCACGAGCTCAGAGATTGTGACCTGAGCTAAGTCAGACGCTTAACTGACTGAGTCACCCAGGCACCCCAATAATTGCTTTATTTTATCTTTACCCCCACCTTTAAGATTATTTTCAGCTTGTGAGGATACTGAGACATAGAATTTAATTGACTTGCTTAAGTCCACATGGCTATTAAGTGTTGAAACTAAAGTCAAACTCCTGAACCAGAGAACCTACAGATTGTTGTTTATTTGCCCGTTTATCTTCCTCTAAGAATGAATTGAAGAATAAGCACTTCGTTAATCTTCTAACACATAGTAGGTTTTCATTAAGTGCTTATTGAAAATAGTATATAAAGCCAAGTTTACTTGAGGTAACTTCTACTCTTTGCCTCTTCCACAGCACCTTAGATGTTTGATTTTTCCTGTCAACTCTGCTGGACACTATACGGAATACCACCGTTGTATTTTTTTAAATTGTAGAACCTTTGTAATTCTGGAGTATTTTAAGTTTAGTGCTAAAAATAGTCTGTGCTAAGCTCTAAAAAGATAAATATTTTTTAAAAACTTGTATAATTTTAAATTTATTAAATAAATAATACTTGAAGCAATTGAAAGATTGAGAGGGGCCCCTGCATGGCTCAGTCCGTTAAGCATCCTATTCTTGATCTCGGCTGAGGTCATGATCTCACATCTTATGAGTCCAACCCCCACATCTGACAACGAAGAGTCTGCTTGGGATTCTGTCTCTCCCTCTCTCTGTCCCTTCCCTGTTTGCACTTTCTTTCTCTCTCTTGCTCTCTCAAAATAAATAAATAAACTTAAAAAAAAAAAAAAGACTGAGAAAAAGGGAGATGTAACAAATAACCACATACCCATCATCCAGAATTTGATCATTGTTTATGTATATACCTTACGTCTTTCCATATTTAATACTAACTTCTTTGTTTTGTGCTTAAAGCCATATCCAGAAGACCCAGCAGTTTATAAACCACTCTCCCAGGAAGAATTGCAGAGGATAAAGAATGAGAAAAAACAGAAACAGAATGAGAGAAAACAGAAAATATCAGAAAATCGCAAACATTTGGCTAGTGTACGTGTTGTACAAAAAAACCTCGTCTTTGTTGTAGGTCTGTCTCAGCGCCTAGCAGACCCTGAGGTAAGCCCTCTTGTGTTTTCTTTCTCAACTTGACATTTTTTTCTTTTTTACTTATCTTATTTGGAAATAACAGCTGACCTTGCCTATTTCCAGGATTTCCCTGAAATTATTAAAACTTAGGAGAGAATGGGAAATGATTTTTTAATTCTCTCTAAGCAACCAATGGCCAGTTGTGATCTTAGGCAAGTGTCTTTATCTTTCTTGGCCTCCTTTTCTTTAGTTGTAAAACGAGGTGGTTGAGCTAAATCTCTAAAATCTCCTTTAGTGCTAATAATCTGTGAAAGTTGGATAATTGTTTTATACTGCTATATGGCTAGCATGTGACATGACTACTCTGTTTCTTTCCTCTTTTCTGTAGCTGTGTAAGGATCGTCCTGGGCATGCAGCTACGTGAACCCACTAGAGAGCTGTATTTTTTTAATCCTGCCCAAGTAGTAATTCTTGCTTATAGAAGAGTTAGAGAACTACTGCTACGCTGTACCATCATTCTTTATTCATTCATTTCAAGCCAAGTTTGGGGAAGGAGGGAGAATTTGATGAAGGAAAATAATGGACCGGGTTCTGTGGTGTGTGTTTGGAGGCAGAGCAGACCTTATTACCCCCTCTGTTTATTACCTCTTTTTTCTCCTTTCACCACCAGTGCTGTAAGAGTAACACTGAGCTCATAACTTTCCCTGATACCCTTGGAAGTATATCTGCTAAGTTTTCGTTTCTGATGTATTAGGAGGTGCTGACTAGATTGATGGGAGGGCAGATAGAAGCTGATTCACAGCCAGAGTGTTTACTTGAGTAGGAGAGAATTGGATTTGGGGGCTCTGCCAAAGGTACCCCTCGAGAAGAATTTGGAGTAGTATTCCTCATGGTACCCATTAAGAGGGAAGGTTATAGTGAATATGCTTAGGGAGGTGGGAATCTTCACACTTGGCTAAGTGGGCTAATGGCCCAAGAAGAATGAAATTTAACGAGTGTAAACATTAAGTTTACTGTGTAATTGAGGTTGTGAAGGGCTTCGAGATCAGTAGAAGAGAAAGTCAGAGAGACCTTACCAAGAAGGCTTTTCTCATTGGCAATAAACATAGAGGCAACTCCAGAATTACTTGGAGCTAAGTCCAGGGATGCTGGCATTAGTGGGTTGCATGAGTCCTTCAGGAGACCAGGTTCTTTGCAAAACCAATGGGGTTGGTCTAGAATTCCACAGGAAAGGACTTTTCAGCAATGGCTCTTAAGGACGAGAGCTCATTTCAGGTCTGTGACTCAACCTCAACAGCCAGTTCTTTCTTTTTTCTTTTTAATTCCTCAGGCAGGCAGAATCCCACTTCACTTGTGACCATTTTCTTGAACACCACTCCAACTTTGCACCAGTCCTTCTGTCTTCGCCTTTCAACTCTTGTCTTTTTTCTAACTAGAAAAAAGGGCCCTTCTTGCCTCTGCAAGTTTTTTACTTTATCTGTCTCTGTTTACTCCTACTGATCTTACTGATTAGAGTCTACTTGTGCTTTCTGAAACTGGTATTCCAGTAAATGAATGGAACTTTTATTTTGATTTGACAAAGCTTGGATATGCATGTACTTGACTGTGTTAATACATCCTGGGTCCTGTCACCTATAGTACTGGAGGCACATAGGGAGCAATGCCCGAAAGCTGGCTAAAATTAAGCCATAGTCTCAGGCTGCTGTTTGGATTATAGGTTTTCTGCCTCCTCTTTGTATTCTGTGATTTGTTTCTATTTACTTACAGAGATTTCTTATTTCCACTTCAAAACATAACTCCAGTAACGTTAATCTGAAGAACTGTTACACAGAAAGAAATTAATCTAGGTGGTGACTAGTGAGAGAGGACACCTTATCATGAATCTAAATGTGCCTTAAAAAAAAAAAATCACTGTACTGGTTTTATATTTTGAAATCAGTGTTCTTGGTGAGAAGACCCTGAATTTTTTTAAACATTGGTTTCTCTCATTTATTTCACTTGAAACCCTAGGAAGACCAGAGACCACTGTTTTATTTACTCAATCCTACCATTTCTAAACAATAATATCTTAACACATCCTCTTAATTTGTGTGTATAATCTTTTCCGTTTGGAAAACTTAAAGTCAGCTTTATTAGAAAACTTGAAGTTTCAAATTGCTAGTGGTAACTTTCAGGTTAAAGGAGCTCCCTATTATTTTTGGATGATGAACAATTTGGTGTGTGACTGAATTTTTTTTTTAATTTAATTTTTTTTAAATGTTTATTTATTTCTGAGAGAGAGAGACAGCACAAGTAAGAAAGGGGCAGAGAGAGAGAGGGACACACAGACTCCAAAGCAGGCTCCAGGCTCTGAGCTGTCAGCACAGAGCCTGACACGGGGCTTAAACTCACAAACCGCAAGATCATGACCTGAGCCAAAGTTGCATGCTTAACCAACTGAGCCACCCAGGCACCCTGTATTTGACTGGATTCTGATTAACAGGAGAGTTTAGGAAAAATTCAAGATTATTTTGAAAATAATTTTTTGCCTCAAAAAACTTAATACCACGATTGATTGTCAAATGTATTCACTTATTGATAAATAGAAAAAAAAACTATTTTAGAAGTTATGGTATATAGTTAGAGGTAGTGATTAGAGGTAATTATCTTCTAAATGCTAAAATTTTGGATTTGCTGGAACCTAATTCGTTCATTTTCTAAATTAACTTCTGAATTTTTACCCTGTTTTAGGTACTTTAATGTTGTAGATAAAGTAGTTCAGCAAGCCAGACACAGTCTCTACTCTTTTTTTTTTCTTAACATTTATTTATTTTTTGAGAGACAGAGAGACAGAGCATGAGCAGGGGAGGGGCAGAGAGAGGGAGGGAGTCACAGAATCCGAAGCAGGCTCCAGGCTCTGAGCTGTCAGCACAGAGCCCGATGTGGGGCTTGAACTCACGAGCTGTGAGATCATGACCTGAGCTTAAGTCAGATGCTCAACCAACTGAGCCATCCAGGCACCCCAGTCTCTACTCGTAATTAATAACTGTTGGGAAGACAGAATTTAAGTACTTTTAACTGTGCTAAGCATTTATAAACAGAGAAGTACAGAGTTTTGGGGGAACATATAACAATAGGGGACTTGGCTACTATAGATATCCACAAAAAGCCTTCCTGAGGGAAGGATAATTAAGAATTACTAGGGATTCCCTAGGCCGCAGATAAGGACAAGTGTGTGTCCCAGGTATGTGGTGGTCTGAGAGAGTAGCTTGTTTGAGGAACTAAAAGACTTTAAAGACAGAACCATGTTATTTTACAAATGAGAAGTTGAGGCATAGAGAAGTTAAGTGACTTGCCTAAGATCACACAGCTGTTTCATAGCAGAGCCGGGACTAGGACCCACCCCCCACCCCCATCCCCACCCGCCCCCACTTCTAATCCCCTGGTCTTAAAGGTCCTATTCTAGTGTTTTACACTGATCATTGGTCTGTTGTCCATCCATTTCTCTGGTCATTCATCCTTCTGTCTGTTTACCGAGGTTTTGATTTTCTCTGTAGTGCCCATGAAAACTTGACTGTGTTCCCAAAGAATATACAGGGAGACAGTTTATTTATTATTAAAAAAAATTTTTTTAATGTTTATTTCTGAGAAAGAGACAGAGTGAGAGCAGGAGAGGGGCAGAGAGAGAGGGAGACAGAGTCTGAAGCAGGCTTCAGGCCCTTAGCTGTCAGCACGTCGAGGACGAGCTCCACAGTCATGAGATCCTGACCTGAGCCGAAGTCGGACACTTAACCACCTGAGCCATCAGGCGCCCCTAGAGGAAGACATTTTTAAACATTTGGCATGCCATTGGGCATTTATAATTCTGTCATGTAGTCTTTTTTTTTTTTTTTAATGTTTATTTTTGAGAGAGAGAGACAGAGAGCAAGTGGGGGAAGAGGAACAGACACACACGCACACACACACACACACACACACACACACACACAATCTGACGCAGGCTCTGGGTTCCGAGCTGTCAACACAGAGCCCGATCCGGGGCTCGAACCCACAAACCCTGAGATCATGACCTGAGCCGAAGTCGAACACTTGACTGAGCCACCCAGGCGCCCCTGTCGTGTAGCCTTTTATATTCTATATTAGTATTAAAGCTGGCTCACTGTGAAGTAAATATATGACATTGAATATACGGATAATGTGATATGTAGGGTATTCTGCCTATTCCCCATACTTTTTATTCACTAGAATACTGTTTTGCTAGTTGTATGTTTAGACAGAATCTAGAATATTTAACTTAATATAGAAAGTTTAAATTATTTAAATTTAGGGGCGCCTGAGTGGCGCAGTCAGTTAAGCGTCCGACTTCAGCCAGGTCACGATCTCGCGGTCCGTGAGTTCGAGCCCCGCGTCGGGCTTGGGCTGATGGCTCAGAGCCTGGAGCCTGTTTCCGATTCTGTGTCTCCCTCTCTCTCTGCCCCTCGCCCGTTCATGCTCTGTCTCTCTCTGTCCCAAAAATAAATAAACGTTGAAAAAAAAATTTTTTTTTTTAAATAAAAAAATAAAAAATAAAAAATAAATTATTTAAATTTCCCTTGCCTGGGCAAGCCATTTCTTATCAGCCATAGGGCCATTTGCTAATACTCTGAGGCCCATCGGTGTTCTTTATCCATGTAATTCTTTTTGTTCAGTGTTAAAATTGTTCCGTTTTCAATAAGCATTTATGGGGTACCATGCGCTGGGCAGTGTATAAGACACTGAGTATACACCAATACAGACGTGGTCCCTGCTTATTTTCAAGCTAACAGTTACTGTAATATGAGTAGTACTGAGGGCTATGGAGGCACAAGAGAGAGCACCCGATCTTGCTGGCGAGGTATGTACTCTTCTGCTGTCTTTGGGGTAAAGTGCTTCAGGCACAGGAACTATACAAATGCTTCTGGATGAGAAAGATCTCAGTCTGCAAGTGATTTGTTTGGCTGGAAGATTAGAGTGCAGTGGTGAGAGATGAGGCTGGCGAGGTAAGTAGTAACAGATTATGAGGGGTTTTTAACCACGCCAAGGAGTTTGCACTTTATCCTAAAGGCTGTGGAAACCTGTTGAATGTTCTTAAGAACAGAGTGACATGGCTAGATCTGTGCTTTGGAAATAATCATTCTGGCTCCAATGTGACATGTCAGTGTAGTTATACAGAAATCTTATGTTGTATTGAAGGTCTTGTAGCCAAATATTGGCCAGAAACTATTTCCATAAGCCAGTGGTTTTCTTATCCGAACCAGTAACCATTTTTTAAAAAATATTTTATGACACTCCTTGACTTTCATGAAGTAAAGAAATAAAAGTATTAAGAGGAAAATAATTATACAATACTATTTCTACATGTAAAGCTTGGGTACCCCTACTCTAGGACCTTGCTGTTCAAGGTGCAGCTTCTGGGCTGGTAGCATTAGTATCACCTGGGTGCTTATTATGTAAGCTCGGGCCCTGCCCCAGAGCTACTGAATCCAAATACACAATTTTACCAGATCCTTGGATGATTTATATGCATATTCAGGTTTGGGACATACTATTGTTAAGTGTACAATAAAATAGTGGAATACTTACATTTTTTGTAGAATCACTGTGAATGTGACACCCACAATGCAGATTGTTACAGGTATCTGTATTGGCAACTCAGGTACCATGAAATGCCAATGATGTGATTTTTCCGAAACAACTCTTAGTATAATTCTGAATAAAGCACTTGTAGTCTTCCCTGAATTACATATTATTTGCTTTCCTGTAAATTCAACATATGTCAAAATTGTAGGGAACTACTTTGAGTTTATGTATAATGTGGAGTTTGTTTCTGGGTTCACTTAATTATACCTAGGCTTCTCAGCTACATTAATGTCTTATAGGACATTCAGCAATTGTGCAGGACAGTTCTTCATTTTGCAGGGCTAGCCCAAGCCTGGTAAGCCATTCCTGGTTCTCATGCACTGAACATAAGTATTGCCTCCCATTCATTTTGACAACCTCCCCCAAGAAAAGCTCCCACGGATTTTTAAATGCTCTCTTGAATGCTGCCTTCATTGAGAGCTACTACCATAAACTCAGATGTGATTTGAGATGCTGATGTAGCATAAACTGACCAGCCTGAACCTTTGAAGCAGGTATGTTGGCTGTGGAGCCTTTCACTGAGTTGGTATCCATCCAGCTGGAATAGTGAATACAGTTCTACGCTCCACCAGCCAGGAAGCTTTTCAAAATAAACTCTTCCCCCTGCTCCTCAGCCCTGGGACTTTGCCGTGTAAAGCCTCAGGGCCATTGCCTTCACCACTTAATAGTTTCATATGTTAGGGGATTTGGTGGAAAAAAGATCGAAAACCAAAAGTATCATCTCATAATCCATTAAAATTGGCTATAGAAAACATAACAGCCCTATACTTGTAAGAACCTAAAGTAAAATGTGGTAAAAAATAATTGTTAATTAAGTTGAAAACTGTTAGGAATTTATGATACCTCAGCCATACACTATTTCACAAAGTCTTGATTCTATCATACAGAACACATTAGCTGAGTTGTAAGTATGTGAGAATGTTACCAAATTAAGAGTGTTTGGAAAGAATACTTGGCACACACTTGGACAGGTACACACAGAAAACTTCCTTGAGAGAGAGCTTGCTGTTTGTAGAGGGTGTAAGAACAGTAGGTCTATAGATAAATTCTAGGAAAAGAACCAAATTTAATTTTAAAGTAGTTGGAAATTATGGGAGAAGTTTTATATCAGGTTACATATTGGTCAAATTAAAACACAGGTCAAGTAAGTCTGTAAGTAAAGTAAAATGAAAGGAGTAAAGGAGGTGGCACAGGTATAAGGGGGAATAACTACAAAGAAGTAACTGGGTAATAGAGAAATGAATAAATTTGTTTCCATCACCCCATATATGTTGTTTACTAGGCAAAGAGTAGGGAAAAAAACGCACACACACAGAGGAGATAATCAAGAAACCGCAAAATCAACACAAAGAGAATACGTACACACATACAGTGATACATCATTAAGCTTAGAAGGTTGAGGAACATTGTTACCGTATTTGCAATTGGTAACTTTAATGCATCAAATATTATATACAATAGATTTATGAGTAAAGCTGTCTCTACTTATATGTCTGTTCTTGAGTTTCTGTCTGTGTTTAATACATAATTATTTGGTCATTGTTTTGAGAATTACTTTTTTATAAGGATCATCTATTAATGAAAATGTGGTTAAGATGTTTGATTGTTTTGGTGTTTAAGAATACTGTGAAGGTAAGATTTCACTGATTATTGGTGCAGATACTAGAACATGGTGGGTAATACCAAATTTAGTGAGTCTCAGTTTCCATATAGTGGGTCAATAAAAAATAGCTTTTACACTCTGTTGATAATATCCTATAGGTTAACCACACAAATTGTAAATTAGGAAGTAGTCACATTTATTAGAAAACTTTAAAAACTATTTTCCTTTCACTGAAGAGGGATGGTTATGTCCCCATTATAAGGATAACACTGATGAAAATGGGGACACATTATACCTTATTTCTTCTTCTTTTATAGGTTTTAAAACGACCAGAATATTTTGGGAAGTTTGGTAAAATACATAAAGTTGTCATCAATAATAGCACATCATATGCAGGCTCACAGGTAACTCATTATAGGGATTTTTGCCTTTCCTCCCTATGGTCTGGGCTTGACCTGGGCTGTTCAGAAGGAAAATTCAGCTTTAATTACAAAGCCTGAGGGTCAAGGATTTAAGCAGTGTAGTGACCTCTGTTGGTGGGGTGGGGGAATTTCTCATGCTCATTTGACTCTTCAGGACTTAACAGTGAATTGATAATAAGAGGGAAATAGTCAAACAAAGTTTAGTGTTCGTTTGGGGAGGAGGGGGAGTTGAGTCTGTTATCAGGCATTGCGATAATAAGGTGATGGTTTCTAATTAATATTTTCAACTATTGAAAACTTAGTAGAGCATTTTTGTTATGCTGGTATTAGCAGATAGAATACTCTAGCAAATTGCTTTTATTTTGGGGAGAACATAATTTGACAAATCTTCAGATCTTTTTTTTTTTTAATTTTGTTTTTCAACGTTTTATTTATTTTTGGGACAGAGAGAGACAGAGCATGAATGGGGGAGGGGCAGAGAGAGAGGGAGGCACAGAATCGGAAACAGGCTCCAGGCTCTGAGCCATCAGCCCAGAGCCCGACGCGGGGCTCGAACTCACGGACCGCGAGATCGTGACCTGGCTGAAGTCGGACGCTTAACCGACTGCGCCACCCAGGCGCCCCTTATTTTTTTAAATCTAACTTTCAAAGCTTATTGTAACCTTGACTAGCCTGTCAAATGACTTTAAAAATATAAATACCAAGCCAGGGATGGTATTTTATCCATATATATTTTAGTATACTTAAAATCAGATAAAATTCATTAAGTATGGTTGTTTTAAGATAAACTAGTATATGGTTTAATCAGACTTACTACTACTTCTAATTATTGTCATTATTATTAATGATAGTAGTAGTAAAGGCCTTCAGAATTCCCTAGGCAGGGTGCAAAGGAATTGTTAAAGTTTTTGTTGAATTTGAAACTTCGGTAACAGTGTGTTTTCACTTTAGGGTCCAAGCGCCAGTGCTTATGTAACCTATATCCGGTCAGAAGATGCTCTCAGAGCCATACAGTGTGTCAACAATGTGGTAGTAGATGGCAGAACACTTAAGGTAATATGTTCCTCTTGATGTTTTTTTAAGGGGGAAGAGGTACAATGTAGTAAATAGAGGAGAGGCTAGGATTTACCTATTACATTTGAGGGGGGTGTATTTGAAGATTGCTTCTTAAGTATCCATACTAATTTATGACAGCTCATTTGTTTACTGCCAGATTATGTGTAGGGTCTTGTTTTACCAGGTAGGAATAAACACATTCATTTTTAGGTGATAATCTTTAAAAATCTTCTGTAATTACACATAATCTTATTTTGTGAAAATAGGATCTATGATACTTATGACAGAAAATGGTTCTGATTTGTTGTCCTTAAATATTTGAATATTGAACAGTTCAGGTTTGAATAAGGGGTCCCACTGAGCCATGCTTTATTTAAGTGGGAAAAGGCTGGCATAACTAGAAAAAAGAATTTGCCTTCTTAATGAGCAAGTACAGTTACTTGCAAGAAGTTACTATAACATGGAACAGATTTTGTGTATCTTGTCTTCTGATCCCTAGGGAAGATTTGGGTACTCAGATTCTGGAAACCATAGACTTGGGCGGGGGGGCGGGGGGGGGTGGTTCTTTAGTTCTTCCAAATGAGCATCATTTTTAATAAATTCTGCTTAGTAATAGTTTAGTTCTCCAGTATTCACAGCCTTACTTATTGTTTTGGTTACATCGATGCCTCATTTTAGGTGAAGTGAAAACACCAAAGATGGAAATCTTCATTGTGTCAATTCACATTTTGGGTCATTTTTCCCCCTCCCCAACTCTCCTACAGGCATCTCTAGGTACAACAAAATACTGCAGTTACTTCTTAAAGAATATGCAGTGTCCGAAGCCTGACTGCATGTATCTACATGAATTGGGGGATGAGGCGGCCAGCTTCACAAAAGAGGAAATGCAGGTAGTAAATTAATGTGAATTATAAACTTTGCGGAAAAGGGAGTATTTTTCTTTATAAGTTAAAATTACAAAAGCAAAAACTAGGAATTCTATTTTTTTAATTGTTATTAAAGTGGCATTTTCCAGTGTTCCGTGGAATATCAGTTCTACAGAATTATTGTTGTAATAAAGATGGGTTGGTAGTCCATTAAGTGTGAATGAAGATAAATAGGTTTCTTTCTTACAGGACTTCTCAGAGTCTTTAATGTGCTAATACATATCCAGGAAGGGAATGTACATTCAGAACTTAATTGGCGAACGAAGGCATTTTGGTAAATGCTACTTTAGTGGGAATATCAGCAAAATGAAAACTAAGTGGGTTACTGTAATTATGAGGTTTTTCCTTGCTAATTTCCACTCTATAGAACATGCTAGATAATAATAAACCTATCGAATGTTGCTGATAAGGTAACATTTTTATAAAATGATTCTCCCCATGAAAGTGTACATTGAATCAGTGTCATGAGTTGAAGGTTTATTATCCCATGTTCTTTTTTATATTTTCTGTCCTCTAGTCTCCTTTCAATTTGTTGTATAAACAGGCCTTTACAAGTAAAAATGTTGACCACATGCATATTAAATGAGGATTATACCAAAGCACAATGCTGCATTTCCCTATTGTAGCTGAGGTCTTCAGATTGTTGCTGTGGACTTTTGCAGGAACACCCTTCTCATTTAGGAGTTGGGGGCAGCATTGATTGCCAACTTTGATTCTCTAGGTCAAGCTGGAGAAAGTCTAGTAGGGTCGCCTTTAAGAGCAGATTGTTAAATAAAATGAAATACTTTTTTTTTTTTTTTTTTTGACTTGGAGTTACTACAGATTAAGTCTCATTGTAATCAATTCATTGGTATGTCTTGATAGTATTTCTTGATGATCCCAAAACAGTGTTAAAATAAGGTCTCTGTGATATTTAATGGGGACAGATGACTTCTTATCTAATAAATGCTTCTTAATTTGTTTTCTTTCTTTGAATAAAACCTTCTTGGATAAAATTTAAGGTTGAACCACTTCAAACTAGTTTTGACAAGTAGAGAATATGCACTACTCATGCTACTATTACAATGAAAATCTCTGTCTAAAGAGTTTCTAAGCCCTACTTGATCTCTTTTTTGAGTATTATTGAGTTATAAATGAAAATGGATAGGTGGCCCCTTGGAACTTACTTGTAATGGGATTTAACCTGTCTCTCTGGACTACCCCTGTAGAATCATTTGAATATTAGTTTCCGCTTTTAGTTGCTAATAAAAGCCAGAATATCTCCCGAAGTATTGATTGTAGAAAAAAATTTCAAGGCTTTTCACGTTTTAAAGATGTAAAATCCACATCTGACTGTATTTTTTCTTAACAATTTAAAATTCACTGTTGTGATGAACTCATCTGTTTCTCTTTATGTGAGTTTAAAATTAATTAATTTGAAAGGAGGTTTCTTTATTAAAACACTTCCTCTATATACAAAGGAAATTTGAACAGATTATATCACAGTAAACATCAGCTCTTTCCTTGTTACTGCATATCTCAAACTTTAGTGCTGTATGAAACATTTGTAGATCCATTTGAAACAGGCAGGAGCGCCTCTCAGAACAGGGAACGATGTGGGGCGCCTGGATGGCTCAGTTGTTTGAGCTTCTGACTCTTGATTTTGGCTCAGGTCATGAGCTCATGGTTTGTGAGATCAAGCCCCGCATTAGGCTCCGTCCTGAAAGCGTGGTGCCTGCTTCAGATTTTCTCTCTCCCTTTCTCTGCCCCCTCCCCCACGCATGCGCTTTCTCTCTCTCTCTCTCACTCTCTCTTTCTCAAAATAAATAGCTAAACATTAAAAAAAAAAAATAGGGAATGATAAGTTGTGCAGTATATATGATACAGTCATACTCGAATCATCATCGATTAGATGATATTGCCCTTGCTTGTTTTTATTGTTTTGTTTCTGTTTTGATCTGTCCTGTTCTGGATTTGGTTTTCCCATAACATCTAGTTAGACCACACTTTTAAGATAAGTAAACAATCCTTGAAGGTAAGTAAAAATGTCGTTTCAGTTGTAATATACATACAAATAGTAGAAAGTTATTCAGAATAATTTCATTGGGATTTATTTTTGTGTTGGACTAGTTTTCCAGAAATAGTCTTTGCCTAATTTCTCCCATAATGTTTGTGACATTGCCTTCTGATATACTGCTACTGACTACAGTAAATACAGATTTCTCTTTTTTGTGTATAGAGCAGTGATCTGCAGACTTTTTCTGTAAAGGGCCAATCAGTAAATATTTTAGGCTTTCTGGGCCAAATGGTCTCTGTAGCAAATAGTCAATTCTTCTGTTATAGCAGAAAGCAACCATAGACAGCAAGTAAATAAATGAACATGACTGTTCCAGTAAAATTTTATTTATAAAACTCCAAACTAGTCTGGAATTTAAAATATATTAATTTTTATGTAAAAACAAATTAATGGAATTTGTACTTAGTGTCAAGATAATGAAAAATGTAATAAGACTTTTCATCTGTGTATTATTCACAGTGTTAGTCTGATTATTTTGTTTTTTTTTTTGTTTGTTTGTTTTTGGATTTTTTGTTTTTAAATGTTAATTTTTTTTTTTTTTTTGAGAGGGAGAGAGTGAGAGCTTAAGTGGGGGAGGGGCAGAGAGAGGGAGAGGGAGGGAGAGATATAATAACGAGCAGGGCTCCGTGCTCTCAGCTCAGAGCCTGACGCAAGGCTTGAATTCGAACTGTGAGATCATGACCTGAGCTGCAATCAAGTGTCGGATGCTGAACCAGCTGAGCCACCCAGACCTCTGTATAGTTTTTAGTCTCTTTTAAAAAGTTAGATTAATTACTTTTGGTGATCTTTGGAAAGTTCTGTAATGGCCTGTTAGAAGACCTCATTCATAGATGAAAGATGGGGAAATAGGTTTAAAAGGGACTCTAGTTTTTTGAGGTAGCAAAAAAGTTGACTATTAATAAGCTTTTTTGCACAATAAAGCGGTTGATGAAATGCCTTAATTAATGGTATACGTATCACATAGTTTTGTTGGAAGAACTTTCATTGGTCTAGTGGTTCTGTGGCATCATCCTCACAAGGTTCTCTAAAGCCATGAAAAACTTTTACATGTTTTATTTAGGATTTCTTTAATAATTTGGAAAGTAAGTTATTAATTTTTAGCAGCCATTTTATGAGCCCCACTGCAGTTTTTATTTCTTCTTTCATTAGGCGGGTAAACACCAAGAATATGAACAGAAACTACTTCAAGAATTGTATAAATTAAACCCCAATTTTCTTCAGCTGTCCACGGGTTCAGTTGATAAGAATAAGAACAAAGTGACGCCACTGCAGAGGTATGATACGTAAGTACCGATATTAGTATGATCAGACACCTTCCCTTCATGTCTGTCGATCTTCTCCTTTCATTCTACATCTTCTTCAGGCAGAATCCTTCTTGACAGTGTGTATCATTTGTGCACAGTTGTTGCACCAAATAGGAAATGTTGAGTCACAGTTTCTGGGTTTGAATATTTGCTGCCTGCTGCTCCCTGGTAACACATCAATGAGCCTCTTGATGGCTACCCTTTGCGTTGATTTGCAGACTGCCCTGGACCCTGAGAACGCCCTCCTTGCAAAAAAGGAAATTAAGGGATGTTGGTTACTGAAAGGCTCTTATTTACCTAATTAAGGTTTCCCTCCTGATATAATGTGGGGGAAATACTGGAAAAGGAAGAGTGGGAGTTAATCTGAAGCATTGTATGTTGGAGACACACATATTTGTGGTTTTCTAGTTGCAGAAATCACTAAAGTTCTCTAAATGGGGAGGATTCAGAATCTTTTTCATCATAGAAAACGGCTTATTTTTGTGTAGACCTGTGCTATGTCAATGTTTAAATAAACTTACAGTCTTAGGTACTGAGTCTCATTCTGATAATGGTGATCTTCACATTTTGGGTTATATTTGGTTGTGGCCTGTCAGAAAATGGTATGATTAATAAAAACAATAATTTGGGGGTTGTACTCTATCCTGAATGTTCCTTAAGTTTGGTGTGTTAGGCTCTTGTTAATTTTCTTTTGATTTGGTAAGTTTAATTTTATAAAATGGATTCATTTTAAGTAAATAGCTATAATTAATTTAGATATGTTGATTTGCTTCTTAAAAAAAATTATTCCAAAGTTAAATTTAAGTAATATGCTAAACATCTGCTTGTTGCTTGCTGTAGTCCAGCATCTATTTAGCACTAAAATAATGTAAGGGCCATTTTCCAAATATAGCTAATAATAACTACATGCATTGTTGTCAGGTCAGTTTCTTCAAATGTGTACTCTTGTATTCAAATTCCTGAAGTCCTGGTTAAGTTTATTCATCTTGATAGTAAAGATCACTTAAAAGGCTATTCAAATTGTTTGTATAAACACATACATGCACATGTATATACATGTGTATATAAATATATAAAAAAGAGCCTACAGAACAAAACATAAAATTACTGTATAGTAAACTGTGTGAAATTTGCGCCTGTCAAAGCTAAGAATAAAAGCTAAGTCCAAGAGAAATCTTTTGGGGATGATAAGCTTTGACCCTTTCCATTGATCTTTTTGTACCTACTCCTTTCTACCCCTGTATGTTTACTTTATTATGAACCATATTTTATTCCTTACCTCATTGGTTGCTAATTCTGTAGTGCTTCATATAAAAATGGGGTTATTATAGTAAAAATTTACTTCAGATGCTTTTCACAGTTATGTACATTATTGTTCTCATTAAAAATATCACTCTAATTAAAACCATATTCTGGGTTTATAGCCCCTGGAGAATTCAGACTAGAAATTTAAAATTTAGACTATCTCTTTGAGATAACGTTTTTTATTTCCTGAATATAAAAGCAATATATTTCTACTTAAGGAAATTTGAAAAATAATATAAAAGCATACAGAAGAAAGTAAATCCTCTATGTGATCTCAATACTCAAGACATTTTCACTGAAAACGATTTGATGTATTTCCTCTCAGTGTGTATTTCTTTGTAGTCCTTTTCCTTCTTGTGAATGTATATATACACAAAATACATTGGTTTGTTATGTTTTAAAACTTAATACCCATTATCATGAATATTTTCCTGTGTCATGAAAATACAATTTTTTTATGGCTGCATGGTATTTCATTATACATGAGCATTTGAAATTTATTAAACCAACCTGCTGCTGGTGTATATTATTTTCATTTTGGTGCCCTTATTTATGACACTGTGATGAACATTTTTTTCATACAAATATTTTGGTTATAGCTTTGATGCTCTTAGAAGTAGAACTGCTGAGTCAAAGATTATGAGTACCTATTTCCTTGAATTGAGTATTTATTTCTGCGCATTTACCAATTTGATAAAAAAAAAACTGTCTCATTTTAATTTGTATTTGATTAATAGAGTGAATGAACGTTTTATGGATTGTGAATTCATATCTGTTTGTTATGTTTTATTGATGTATTTAAGTGTTTTATGTGCATTATACAGAACTAACTTTCCCCAATTAGTTTGACCAATCTATTTGTGTTTCAAAATACTTGTTCTGGAAAAATTTACATTCTGCAATATAACATTGAGTGTTCTCAACCATTAGCATGGTATATCTCTAAGTCTCTTGTGTCTCTTAGGAAAGAATTTTTTTGGTGTCTTTTCACTGTTTTATTGTATTGGATCTCCCACCACCACCTCTTCCTATTTGAGAATAACTGGGCTAAGAATTAAAGAACAGTTTAGAAAGTAGTGCCATCAGGAATCCTTGTCTCATTCTTTATGGGTCTGTCTCCCTCTTTGACAGGGGTGCCTCCAGAGTTTTATTCACTCCTAAGTGTGATTTTAACCATTTATTTGAGATAAGTAGTTTTCACCACAGTATGAACATACCTTGTTATTTTTAATTTATTGAGTTTTTTTAATTTATTGAGTTTTTTTTCTTTAGATTGAAAGTGAAAATTGAACTTTACCAAATGTCCTTTTGGGATTTATAACAAGTACTTAGTTTTTCTTTAACTTTTTTTTGTGTGTGTGTGACCAGTTATTAATAGATTTACTAGTTATTTTATTAACTTTGCCTTCATATAAAGTATAGTCAGCACATTTATGGCTATTTCAGTAGCAGGAGAAGAATGACCTTGATGCCATGGAGAAAAAAGAAGAGAAAAGGGGACTTAAAACAGTATATTCATTTAATAACTGCCCAAAGCCAGTGCTGCTGAACCTCAGCTAGGACCAGAGTAAATTTTGATATGGTTGCCTGTGCTTTGCATAAGTACATGATATAGGAAGGTTACTTTGGGGAGGGAGAAGGGTTATTTTTTGTTTGTTTAATGCAGGTTCCTGAAATTTAAGGACAGTTGATGGCCCAAGGTACACAGAGTTGTTTTTTTGGCAAGCTTCCGTAGCTTCTTTTCTTTCCATGCCAACCCCTGCAAAAGGTTAAGTTCAACTGACTGTCAGTAATACTGAAGGTCCACTTTGGTCTCCATTCCACATTGTCACTCTATTGGGTGTAGTGATAGGTAGGAATTTATAGATAAGTTTTCTTCTTCCCACAGGGAAGACTTGTCAAATTAGAAAGACGAATAGTATGACTCTTTCCGTGGTCCTACCCAAGAGATATCTTTTTCATATTCAAAATAAGTTGAGAATTAAGCCTTCTAGGGAAGAAGGTTTCTTTTTCTCTTATCATTCATATGTAGTGAATAGCAGTTTTACAAGAATTTGTAACAAAATCTGGAACCTTATGGCTTGACACTCAACCCAAAATGTAGTTTCCTCTTATTTCTAAATAAGCCAGAGTACAAATATTAAGTACAGAGTATCTTAGCTACTTAATCTTTGCTGAACCCTGACATGGTCCTGATACAGATATATATGAAGTTGTTTGTGTGTGTTTTTTTATAATATGTCTTACTCCTATTTCACTTAAGTGAACAGTAAATTATAAAAGGGTGTGTGTTGTTTGTTCTTACCACCCCCCCATCATTATGCATTTCAGAGTATATCAGTCAGATTGAGTGTAGATGTGCTATCTTTCTATATTAATAAGTTACTTTGAAACGATGAGTACAAATGATGAGAGTGGGGAATAAGGAAGCCATACAGTAGTGATGCTTAAGGACTGGGTATTTTAAGTTTGGCACTTTGAAATACCTTTATTTAGGTTGAGACACTTTTTGTGCCCCAGCTAAAAACTGTGAAAGGAATAGTACCTAGATGGGCTGCTATGCCCAGGGACAGTAAGTAGGCAGGCCTACATAAGCATTTGGGGAGCAAATTATTGGGTATGTAGATCACTCAAGGTAAATGGATATGAATTGTTATTGTGGCTCAGATAAGCCACCGTTGAAGAAATGAGGATGATTCAATTTAGACTTAGGTGAAAAGAGGGTTGATGTCCTTCGTGTTCATTTAATCTCAGTTGTCCTGTGCGGTAGATATCACTACTATCTTGCTGACAAGAAAAGCTGGGACTGGCAAGACTCAGAGAGTTGAAATAATTCACCAGTACCCTTACACAAATAAGTGATAAACCAGATTCTGAACAAAGTTGCTGCCACTTTTAAGCCCAAGTTCATGCTCCCACTCTGCCACTGCTCAGTCTAGAAGAAGTAAGATTCTTAAGAGACTTTAAACATGAATCAAAACTCTAACATGAATCAAACTAGCTCACTTAAAGAAAACTATGTCACAACTAATATATAGTTTGACCTTGAAGATCTCTGGTCTGTAAGGCTTATTATCTCAGGATAAATTCGATGTACCATAAATCTAAGGAATTAATGGTATTTTAAGCAAAAGCTTTCCTAAAACACAGTTTGGTGGCAGTAGAGCATAAGCTAAAGAAATGGTGAAAGGAAAATTTCTATAGGAAATTTGTCAGTTTTTGTTATACCGAAAGAAAATGCATGTCTTTTTAAAATCGTGGATGTCTCTTCATTGAAAATCAAGCATAAGCTCTGATAGGCTGAGGGCATAGTCAGAGTGCCTTCTTTACTGAGCAGAATGGGAGTGGTCACTGCCTGAACGTTGTTCTCCTACCCGGACATCATTTAGTCAGATATGATCTAGAAAAGGTATGGCCTGGAGACTTGTATAAAATAGTTTTGGATAGAGCTTATTAAATAATGAACAGCCTTCAGCACATCTGTGAACTCTGAAATTTTATCTGATTTTGTGTGCGTGTGTACATTTTTCTGGAGATAAGACCCATGACCTAATAATAATTGTAAATTGCCCTTGTATGCTGATACTTACAGGCAGAAGTGATTTCAGGAGTGGTATAAAGCAGTGATTCTCAAACTGTGGACAAGTGCCATGAGAGGTGGGCCTAAAAAAAAT